CCCCTTCTGATTCGCCTGATTTAACCTCAGTGCCCCCCCCCCCGGCGACAACTTGACCCATACAGAGGAAAAAGGGGAGGAAAAAAAAGGAAGTGTGTGTGGCTTGTGTCATGGTGTTTGCCACCTGCTGTCACACATTACCCTGGGAATTGTACGCAAAGCGCGCCGGCTCCTGGGGGACGCATCCTGCGAGGATGCTGCACTATTACTTGTCAAGCAGAGGATATGAGTCCCAGGGGATGGTGAGTGGAAAGAGTGGAAGCTACAGGAGGAAAGATGGATGCATGAAGGGGGAGGTTAGATGGTGTTTAACTGTCTGAGCAGCCGCGGGGACGGTGTACTGCTGGCCTCTGTGCTGAGGACACAAGCTGTCCCTCAGATAGAGGAGGGGGCAGTCACAGAAACACAAACAAAAGGCAGTGATTTAACAAAGTGGGCTGTTAATGACCACGCCTAATAAAACCAGGAACACAGAAAAGGGAGGAGAGACACTCCGGAGCTGTTCAGCACTCGTGCCGGATGTGAAAAGAGGAATTTGCTGACAGAGCGAAAACTAAAAGATTGTATTTAGAAACCTGAATGAGACGGACAAACCTGGAAATACAGAGAAAGTTATGTTCAACATTAGATGTGGATTTTATTTGTAGGCAGCAGTAAAAGATATTACTTATTATTAAGTAGATATTATTTATATTCTGCTTACTTATAAGCAGAATATAAATGGGCGGGTCAGGAGCCAGGGGGGGTCAGGAGAAAATGGGCGAGGTGGAAGCAGATGATACTTGGAGGGCTAAGACGTGGTGACAGCTGGTGTCTGATCTGAGGATCCATCCTTCCTCCTCAGCCTCTTTTAGTCATATTACGAAGACTAAGTGACCACGAGGGGAGGACGGACGGACGGACGGACGGACGCACGCACGCACGCACGCACGTAAAGTAAAGTTAAAAAGAGACTTACTTTGATCTAATGTACATTATTGCAGAAGCTGCAACAAACCATCGATTTATTTTTGATCACCGATTAATCCATGTGGTCCAGTAATGAAAAATGCAAATATAATGCAAGGTTTAAATCTGGGACTCTCCACCATTTGACCTTAGAACTGAAAAAGCTTCTCGGATGAAGGTGAAACGTCTTCAAGCAACTTAAAGAAGTCCAGACGCTTTTCTTT